CGTGCCTCCGAGACGGCCTAAGAGGCCCCCTAAGAGGGTTCCAAGAGGGCGCCCAGACGAATGACCAGAACGGACATCTCGAGCCCTCGGCCCCGAGAGGCTCCCAGGACGAATCAAGAGGCCCCCAAGAGCCCCCCAAGAGGCCCCAAGAGGCCCCCAAGAGGCCCCCAGGAAACCCCGAGAGGCGCCTAAGAGGCTCCCAAGAGGCCCCCAAGAGGCCCCCGAGGGCGCTTCGAAGAGACCCCAAGAAGCATCCAGGAGGACTCTGACCCACGTCAGCGTCGTTGTCGTCGCCGCCGCCGCCGTTCTCGTCGTTCCCCTTCAGGGTCGGCGGCACCGGCTGTAAGGCCTTCGCACTAAACCATATTGCATCCTCCGAGCGGTAACTAGACATGCGAAAAGTATGGCCACACAGTTGAACAAGGTGTCCAGCTAGATCCCAGTTCGAAAAGGTCCGCCCAAATGTACGCGTATGACAATGCACTTCTAGGAAGTCTCCAGCAAAAGCGCCATTTTGAAATGGATCCGACATCCACCCATGCAACTGCCGCAAACTTGAACAATTACTTATACGCGGCGCTTCGGCGAGAGCTCCTGTTCAAAAGCGATCCTGCCATTCATTGATCGTACACATTGGAAGCTTTCAGAGCAACCGCGCGAGGCGCTATTGCTAGAGCTCCATTTTGAAAACGATCCCCCCTCCATCCGTCTGCATGTTGCAAGCTCGTGAAACGAATGTGCGCGGCGCTGGGGCGAGAGCCAACTTTTGGAAACCGCCACCACCCTCTACATTCGTAACTGCGGCAAGCTGTTACGACGAATGTGCGCCACCCCATTTGGAAAACCGTCCCCCGCTCCCTTCGCGCAGTTGCAGGACCAGAAAGCGGCGAGGAGAGGAGATCTCAGGCGAAACGCGCGGCCCGCCCTGCCGACGCATCTGGAGGTGCGACACGCTGTACGGTCGGGAACTTCTGCTTCGCGAGTCGCGGCGGCGGCCCCGGCGACACGCTATGCCCTGCGAGCGGACAGCGTGTCGCTCCGCTCTGCGGGGCTGGTGGCTCGGCGAGGCTCGGGACGCTGGAGCCCGGAGACTGCAAGTGGATAGCGCGTCGCGCCAAAGCGTGGTGGGCCAGAACGGGCCGAGCGACACACCATCCAAAAGCTCCCGACCGGGAGTTGAGGGGGAGAGGGCGCCACAAGCAGGGGCCCCGCCCACCTCACGCACCGCGCGCCTCTGATGTTCCCACTCTTCCTCCTCCGCCTCCTCCTCCTCCTCCTCCTCCTCCTCCTCCTCCAGGCTACTCCACAGACTGCGGACGAAACAATGTTTGCAGTGTTGCGCCTTCCACGCCCACGTACTTCTCGAAGAATGCGAAGACTCTAATCGAATATAGCTTAGTCTCCCGAAGTCTTGTACCACTCGTGGCCGAATATACCAACACTTGCTCAGTTTAACACGGCAGCGCTAGCAAGGCACGGGCTGGTCATACTCTCGGCCGATCTCGGCTGCGACGCGATAGTCTCCGCTTTGCGCGAACCAGCGCGTCTGCCTGCCACGCTGCTCTGCAAGTTGTGCCCATACGTGGACTCAGGACAAGCCGGCATGGCAGCCGACGCGCGTCAGGCGACGGGAGGTGTGGACGGGCCGGCCATCCGCTGTCCTGGGAGTTGAGGCCATGCGGCCTTCCCACTCGTGGCGCACCGCCCGAGGCTGGCTGGCGCCCTACCAACCAATGAGAGAGCCGCTCTTCAGACTCACACCTGGGGAGATTCACGATGCAGCCGCCTCCTTCTCCACCTCTTCCACCCAGACGTTCGACGGGTTCCACCCGCGCCACTTCGCTATGCTTCCAGATGCGCATTTAGGGGCAGTGGTAATGCTGCTCGAAGCCGTGGAGGAGCCTGGGCAATTCTCCACGGCCATCTTAGCCATCTTGGCGATTGCCTCAACACTGATCCGAAAGATCAAATACAGGATCCCTGGCGTCCCATCGTTCCGCGGCATCGGGCTTCTTCTGGCATAGTACCGACTGTGGGCAAAGGACCGTCAGCCCCTGGTCCGCGCTTGGGAGCTCACCAACAGGAAGTGCTTCGTTGGGCACCAGCAAGGGAGAAGCCCTGAGGAGACCAACTTCCTCCAGGCCACTGTCCCCGAGGGTCAAGAGAGCACGGGGCGCATTGAAGCACTCCGGCGCAATCCTGTGGGATATGAGCGATCCTTGCGAGCACATGTAGACAAGCGCGTCCCACTACTCGCACAGGAACTCCTCAGAAATTGTCTGGATCCGCCATCGGGGGGATCACGATACATTGCATCGATGTAGACATGTGTGTGTGTGTGTGTTTCGGACGTTTGCGAGGAGGCACTCTGCGAGTACGGAAACGCGCTCGGTGAACATAGAGCACCTGGCCCTATGGGTCCGAGCAGGGCGCTCCGAGCATCCGATGAGGCCGCGCTGTGCGCGTCTCTGAGCCAGTGCCAGGGCCGATGCTTCGCCACGGTCGGTACAATGGCAGGGGACGTCGGCCCTCCTGCCCGAGGCCCCCCTGCAGGATGCGGCCTCGCCACCTACGAGGTCCAGGCCTGCGAGCCCCCACCAGGAGGAGGAGGAGGAGAAGGAGGAGGAGGAGGAGGAGGAGAAGGAGGAGGAGGAGGAGGAGGAGGGGGAGGAGGAGGAGGAGGAGGAGGAGGAAGAGGAGAAGGAGGGGGAGGAGGAGGAGGCCTGGCGGCGCAACAACAACGCCTCAACCTTCCCCATTTTCGCTGACGGCCTCCACACCGGGCGGGCCGATCCCGACCCACAGCAGGAAGTCAACAGTCTGGTGAAAGGTGCGGCGGGGCTCCACAACGGCATCACTTACGACTTGCACTGCAGCGTGGCGCTGTCCAAGTCGGTCCCTCTCGCCAACTCACACAATCTACGCGTTAAACTCGGCAAGGCCCTCGGGTGCCATGCTGGCTGGCACACTCGGAGCTTTTGGCAGGAGCCTCGGCATCCATTATTCCGAGAGCTACCAAAGGAAGCTCAAGACATCCCGCCCCGTGCTCAAGGGCTGGGTGAAGGATTCTTGTCAACCTCCAATTACTGCTCCATTCCCTTTCTGAGTATCGTTTACCCGATCCCCATCCCCAGCGGTGTGGCCTGGGCCCCAGTGGCCGATTTACCCCCCTCGATGGGGATATAGGCCGTCCCCTTCGGGTTTCGAGGGGTGTATCCCCAACTGGGGTGGTAATTCGGTGGGGGTCTCGAAGGGGATGGGGATGGGGATGGGCCTTGGATAAACGATACTGACTTTCTCCCGCTCCTCCTCCTCCTGAGAGGCCAGAGTCCGCCTTAGGGATGAGATTCCCGGAGTGTCCAAGGGCGGAGCTGCGAAGAGAGGGAGGGTACGATGGCTTGAAGGAATCGCTGCGCACAACGCGCACGGCCACGCACGCGAAGGCAGCTGGATCTCATAACGCCCTGCCAGACAGACACAGGCACTCCCGCGGGTGGGCACCGTCAAGGGTGCTGCGGGTGTGGCGATCTTCACAACACGGATAACACCCTGCCCGCCGCAGCAGCCGCTGGTCAGGCGCCGAAGCCAGCCAGCCAGCCGTGCTGCGGCCCAGTCGCGTAGGCCACGCGAGCGCGCGTCGGGCCCGACGCAGCCCCTTGGCCCACCACCGCGAAGCGACGGCGCCGCGTCGGGCCACGCCACGCCAGAGCGCCAGCGGGCGACAGAGCCACGGAGCCGCCGGCCTCGGGCCCCCCGCGCAACGCAGGCGCGCGCGCGCGACGCGGGCGGGGCACGGCGATTGGCCGCAAGGCTTGGGCCATGGGCAGGCGGGCCGTGGGCCCCGGGCCGCGGGCCGTGACCCGCGTCAGTGGCCACGGCCCACCCGAGGGGCCACGGGACCAGGAGGCCATCCCAGGGGAGGGGCGCAGGAGGGAGGAGAAGGAGGGAGGAGCAGGCGGAGGGGGGGACGTGGAAGGAGGAAGAGGGGAAGGGTGACACTTGAGCAGTCTGCACAGTGCGTCGCCGCAGCGCGCGCCCTTGCCCTGCCGCATGGCCCATGCGCAGCAGAAGTTTCCCCCCTGAGCCTCTTGTGCTCTCTTCTGACGTAGGGCCGAGTCACGTGATCCCTTGGAAGGCATGGCTGAAACCATTTGTTCTCTCCAAACGCCTGGCCAAATCATGTGTTCCCCTGGATCGTGAAGTTTAACATATGCTCTCGCCGGACGCATGGCGCAACCCATGTGTACTAATTATCTGAACGCATGGCCAGGTAACGTATTCAGCGCCAGTCGTCAAGACGCCAGCTTAACCAAGGGTCCGTCGCCTGCGACTCTGGCGATATCGGCACCAGTCTCAGCATTGACAGCGGTAGTTGAACTGCGCGAGAACTGCTGACATGTTGGCAAACGGATAATATTTAAGAGCACACAGGCAAGGCTGAAATTCTGGGGGCGGCTGAACGAGAGTGCGACCTGACATACATATTGTGCGCCAGATGAGTATTGCATTCCGTATGGTGGGCACCTGGCGACTGCGCGGGCCCTGCCATGTTATTCACCGGCTGAAGACAAACGCTCAGGTCGCTTCCCTGTCAGACGTCATGTGCAAACCCTCCTTGTCATCCCCCCCTCTGGTCGACGATCCTGAAACTCGCTCCCAACAGCCTTCCTGGGCATCGACAGAGCCTGCAGCCAAATCTTCTGGCCTTGGCGATGAGACGCCCCCCCACGCCTCCCCGCGCGGTCTCCCAATATAGTACCTGAGCGCCTCCAAGGTGGCCCAGGGAGACCCCCAACGATCCTAGAAGATTCCCCAAACGTCCCCAGCAACCCTAAAGAGCCTCGATGCAACGATTCCAGAGCAGTGTCTTTCAGAACCCACTGACCGAACGAGGCAACCAGCTGCGAGCAAGACGGCACCAAATTTGCCTGCACGCCACCGCGATCGCTGCTGTGACGCCGCCCGCTATCGGCCCGGGCTGGCCCCAAGGCTCGGGGCGCTCACCAAACGCGGTCGAGGAGCTGCTCGGCAGCGGTTCTGACGTCTGGGTCCTGCGAGCCGGCGTGGGAGAGGCGGTGTGGTGGATGCCAGTCGCTGTCGGCAACGCATGTTTGTGAGACTCTGGAAACACGCATTGGAAAACACGCGCGCACGCACGCATGCACACACAAGCACAACTGCAGAGGCCAAGAAACTAGTTCGTTGGAAGCTGCATGGGCTCGGGAATGCGAGGGATGGGAAGGACCCCGTAGAGATGCCTCTGCACAACGCGCTCGTCCAGTGTGCGCTGGTGGGGAACTTAAGACGCGCTCATCATCCTCACGCTCGTGGGCGCCAAGCCCCCCCGTACTTCTTCAAGTGAGCTTGCGTCACGCCGGCGCCACACTGTCCTGATCGAAACAGCAGCCGCAGTCGCAGCTGCAACGTCGAGGGGCAGGACCTCGACGAGCGAGACAAGAGGGAGCAATCGCTCACCAGAGGAAGCCAACAAACATGAGGGGTGGGGCGCGCGGGAAGCTCAAGGCCAGGTGCAAGGGGGAGGACTTGTCCATACCCACCGCCTGGGGGGTTGATCTGCGGGGACATCGGCAGGCGGTGGATATGGATATATTCGGGCCCCGAGCGCATGGGAGGAGGAGGGAGAGGAGGAGGAGGAGGAGGAGGGGGAGGAGGAGGAGGAGGGCAGGACCCGAGCGGGATCAGAACTGGTGGGGAAGCAGACTGATATAACGCATGTGTATACGATATGAATACATGAACACGCATCTATAGATGATATTTCTATAGGTATATATACACGCATTTATACATATTTATGTAAATGTATATACCAGTGCCGATGAGTTCGTGCAGTTAAATGCGAGGAACACTCGAATCAATGACGGTCTAAGCCAAGGAACGTGGAGTAATGAACGGACAGATTCTTCGTGTCATGGGGGGCCGTGGCGTCGGATCGGCCCCCCGACTTGGCTCTGAAGAGCGGCCCACAGACCAGAGCCCATCCTGAGCCCGACGCGGTCCTCGTTCAAGCGTCGTGGCTGGAATCCTGCAATCCCCGGACCTGTCCTGGGATGCGTTCTGAACAAAACAACGGGGATAATCCACGCGCGGCAAGGAGGGCTCGCCAGGGCGAGCAGCGGCACCAGCAGCTCTTCGTTCTCTGGGCAGGGAGGGAAGGGACCTAGGAGGACGATGATGATCAAGGTGTTGATGATAATGGTGATGACGACGCTGACCATGATGGTAATGATGATGAGGATAATCAAAATCGATGGGAAGAATATGACAATGATGGGGGGGGTGAAGAGTGATGATCCGTGTTGCTGGTATGGAAGAAGAGAGTGAACATGATGATGAAGATTATGATGGTGGTGATGATGACGCGGCTGATGCTGCTGCTGAAGGGGGGGGTGAAAGCGATGATGACGATGATGAGGATGATCATGGCGATGATGATGATGATGATGATGATGATGATGATGATGATGATGATGATGACGATGACAATGACGATGATGACGATGATGATGATGATGATGATGATGATGATGATGATGATGATGATGCTGATGAGGATGCTGATGATAATGGTGATACTGATGATGCTGATGATGAGATTCGTAGCGGCTGGGGGGCGACCGCCGTTCCTCGCGATCAAATGCACACCACATCAAAACCCGACCACTTCCAGATTGAGAAAGGTCTATTTTCCGAAGCACAGAAGAGGCTAGCAGACGAGCCGCGCAGCGGCGCAAGCGAGGCGGTCAGTGAGCGCGATCAGCGCGTCGCAGTGCAGTCGGCAGCGGCGCGAATCCGCAGAACTTCAGGAAGATGAGAATTCTTCAGATTGTGGCACACCCCAAAACGAACGAGGATCGCCCAGAGGTCATCGGGCTCGTCGACGAGAAGGCCGATGCACTCGAGGCGGCTGCCAGGCGGGAACTTGCCGAACACGGAGTAGACGATGCCCCAGAGGACGTGGCAATCCGGGCAATGCGCCCAGAAGTCGGGTGCGTCGCAGCCGCAGAGGCACAGATGGACGACGCTCTCGCGCTTCCGCTCGCCGGTCGTCCGGCCGCCCAACCACGTCTTCAGGCGCAGGCGTCCGCAACGCGGACGTGCGAGCGGCGCGCGACGAGGAACATCCGCGCGAGGTCGACCTCGCGGAGCGTGCCGGCGCTCCCCGGCCAGTGCTCCAGGAGGGGCTTGCGCAGCATAGCGTCGAGGCTGGCGGGGAAGACGAGGGACTTGAGCGTGGCGTACGCGAACTTCTGGGCGCGCGGCGGGGGCAGCCGGGCGCGCGCGCGCTCGAGAGCCAGCCGCTACTTCTTGGCGACGGTGGCCGAGACCTTCAGCGGCGTCTGCTCCGCGATTTGCTTGAGGGTCCAGGCGGTCGCGGCCGCGCGCCAGTGCGAGGCCCAGGGGCGATCCGCGCGCGCGAGGTCGTCCGGTGCAGCGCAGCTTCGCGCCACGCGTGCTGCATGGCCTCAAAGGGCGTGGACCAATCGTGCGCCGCGAGGGCCAACCGCACGAGGGCCGCGACGCAAGCCAGGGAGGCCAGTAGAATGTCGACGGCTCCGAGGGCGGAGGCCGAGGACATGCCGCGGACGGTGATGGTGGACGTCGCGACGTGCCAGAGCTTGCTGGTAACCTTGCTATCACCCTGCATGAGGGCGTGCGACGGGAGGGCAAACTGCGCGACGCACTGCGGGACGGGGACGGCCTTGACGTTGTATTCTTTGGTCGTGGTGGTGACGCTGCCGCGGGCGGCCGCGAAGCTGTCGACGCGTGGCCGCCGCTTGCGAGAGGGGGCCGTTCTAGAGCTTGTCGGAGACAGCGGGGCCCATCACTACGCCCAGGTAGGTGGCCACGCGCGCCGCCGCGAAAGCCGCCCAATGCGGGAGGAAAGTGGCGAGGCACGAGAGGAAGGAGTCGGCGACATCGGGCGCGAAGTCGACAGCGAGAGGCACCAGGATGCACTTCTGCGGCTCGAGGTGCAAGCCCGCGAAGCACGCCATGAACTCGAAGCACAGGGCGAGGCGCTGGTCGTCGACGTTGTGCTTGACCCGCGCGGCGAAGGGGTGCGGCGTACACGAAGCCGCTGAGCGGGCAGCCCAGAAGGCGAAGAGGCCGCAGATGAACGCCGAGTTCCAGAGGCAGTGGTAGATGGCCCTGAAGAAGGTGAGGATGGCGGGCGGCATGCCGAGCGCGCGAAAGGGGGCCCAGATCAACGCGTGCTGCAAGCTCGGGAAGGCAGCGGCGATGTCCCAGAAGGCCAGGGTGGGGAGCAGGTGCTTGGCGCAGGCGGCGCAGGGGTGGCCAAAGGTGCGAGCGGCAGCGTCGAGATCGATCATGTTCTGCGCGAGGCGGCGGCGCGCGACGAAAAGGGAGAAAGCGCAGGCGGTCGCGACACCGCGGAGCATGATGCCTACGATCGCGCAGCAAGCTTTATCATCAGCGTTTGTGAGGCTCAACGGCCTCGTCTCCTCGGGGAGGCGCACGGTGCCCGCGCCGTCGCCCGCGTGCGAGCCCTTCGGGACGAACACCGAGACTGACGAATTGAACGCAGAGGAAGCGACAGCCCCGCGAACATGTGATAGGTGAGCGCGCGGAGCGTCTCGGCGCCGATCGCGTGACTGTGCCGCCAGAACGAGCCGGCGATGCCGTCGGCCAGGCGATGAGTCGGACGCGCGCTTCATTCACGAAGTGCTGGAAGGAGGCGGCCGACGGTGCCCGCACCGAGCTCCAGTCCATCGGCGAGGCCCAGCGCGAGAGGAGGTCATTGGCACTGGCAGTGTCGGTGGCCTGCTTCGCGAAGTGCGGCGCCCAGGCCACAGCGATGGAGCACCAGCTGGACCACGAGGATGCCACACGGGGCGCTGTCCACCGAGAGGGCCGGGGACGACGAGCGCGCTGAGCACAAGGTGTATGGCCACGGGCAGGCGGACCTCGGCCTTCTGACGAGCAGCGTGGGCTCGAGCGTTGAGCTTTTTGCAAATGGCAGGCGACGCGTGGGCGGCGGCGGCGATCTCGAGCTCCTCGGCTTGCGCTGCTTTCTCGGCCTCGGCGATGGTGTCGTGGGTCGTGGCGAAGGCGATCGGGTCACGGAGGGTGACGTTACCAGGGAGCGTGCTGGTCAGGTCGCTGCCGTCGGGGAAACACGCGAGGATGGCAACGGCCAACGACAAGTCGTTGCGACACACCGCGCGCGCGAGCGAGGACAGCGCGAGGCGCTTGGCGATCGCGGATGATGTCCTTGTGGGTCTGCCAGCAAAGAGCCGCTGGGAGGCGGTCGAACGACACGTTGGCCCAAATGGTGTCGTGGATATAACCATAAAGAAGGTGAACAACAATCTCGCGATGATGCTGCTGCTGCTGCTGACGACCGCGATGATGATGATGATGATGATGATGATGGTGATGATGATGATGCTGGTGATTATGATGGTGCTGACGCTAATGCTGATGCTGATGGTGCTGCTGGTGGTGATGAAGATGATGATGGTGATCCTGATGAGTATGATAATGATCAGGATGACGACGACGGCGGCGACGATGAGGATAATGATGCTAACGATGCTGGTAGTAAAAATGAGGATGATGACTATGATGCTGGTGACGGTGGGGATGCTGGTGATCATGATGATGATGATGATGATGATGATGATGATGATGATAATGATGATGATGATGATGATGATGATGATGATGATGATGATGATGATGATGACGATGATGATGATGATGATGGTGATGGTGATGATGATGATGATGATGACGATGACGATGATGATGAAGATGCTGGTGATGGTATGATGACGATTGCGATAAAGGCGGTGGTGGTGACGATGGTAGTGATAATAATGAGTATCATGATGATAACCTCATGAAACCATTAAGGACCCCCCGGGGATAACATTATCACAGCACCGTAATGAAATAATCCCACCAGCCCTCTGGGCGTCGGTGGTCTAGAGAGCTTCCTCTTCCAACCCCCTTCATCCCCTTCGGGGAGGGGTTTACCCCTCCCCCTACCCCCTCCCCTGGACCTGGACGTGGGGTTCCGTGGGTCGTTGGGGCGTCCAAGATGGCCCAAGACGGCTCCAAGAGCGAAAAAGCGAGAAAGCAAAACAACATTGATTTCCCTAGGTGTTGGAAGGATGTTGGCCTCTTTTGGGGCCCAAGAGGCGATTCGAGGCACTCTAGAGGGGCAGCGCTAATTGACACCCCCCCATTCTTTGATAGATCTCCTCCAACATGGCCCCAAGAACGCCCCGAAGGCTGCCAAGAGCGCCCCAAGAGCGCCCCAAGAGGGCCCCAAGAGGACCCAAGAGGCGCCCAAGAGGCCTCCAAGAGGCTCCCAAGAGACCCCCAAGAGGCCCCAAGAGGCTCCCCGAGATACGCAAGAGGCCCCCAGGACCGCCAAGAGGCCCCAAAGACGGTTCAGAGGCCCCCAAGTTCGCCATTGTCCTCCTCCTCCTCCTCCTCCTCCTCCTCCTCCTCCTCCTCCTCCTCCTCTTGTTTTTTCTTCCTCCTCCCTCCTCCCCCTCACTCTCCTCCTCCTCCTCCTTCTCCTTCTCCTCCTTCTCGTCCTCCACGTCCTCGTCCTCCTCCATCTCCTCCTCCTCATCTTCCTCCTCCTCCTCCTCCTCCCCCTCCTCCTCCTGCTCCTCCTCCTGCTCCTCCTCTTCCTCCTCCTACTCCGACGACGACGACTCCTCCTACATCCCTCCCCTTTTGGGGTATATGGCGGTTTACCCCGCCCATTGTTATTCTGCATTCTCCCCCGCTTCGCTCATCACCTCCACTCCCCTGGGACTCATTTCTGGACGGGCTGGCGGGGATACTTTTTTGGTCGGCGGCTCCGAGGCAACGGACAGGGAGCGGAAGCGGCGTCCGGGTCACGGTACAAGGCTAATTGCAAGACAGTTGCCGCCAGCCAGAGTCGGCAGACAGATTCGCAGATGCACGCGCACAGAACAAAATAAACTAAATTCCCAAAGCAAACGCACTTAGACGCCACAGTCCGAACCAAAGGGATCAGGCCGCCGTGCGCGTTGAAAGTGCGGATGCACCGGAAAGAGTCGCCAGGGCGGCGCCAGACTCCGTGGCCGACCTGCACAAGCCGAACGGCTGAGCGGCCGGAACCAGAAACAGTGCGCGACAGAGGGAAAACCAAAGGCTGTACAGGCGTTGTAGGCTGAACCACCCAGCGCCCAGTCCTCAGAAATCCGCCTCCCAGTGCCGAGGGGAGCCATGCGGCTGTGCCCACCCAAGGCGCAGCTGTGCGGCGCCTTTCCCGAAGCGAAGAAATCCGCTGGCGCGGGGAGCACCGCCGTAGGGTGGTGATGGTCGGCACACTGGTGGTGGTGACGTCTGCGCTGCCTGCCAGGGGAGTCCTGGCTGGTGGGGATACGCGAAGCGTTTAGAATCATTGGGGGCGGTTTTCGCCGAGCGAAATGATTAGCACCGCGCAAATGGCACGAAAAAAAATGATTCCCGCGCCCCGCCTCGGGAGGCATCCCAATTGGAATTGGAATAAGCATAAGAGTGAAATGCGAGTAATAATAATGAGAATAAGAAAAATACTCAAACTATCAATAATAATAAGAATGATAATGATAATACGAATAAGAGAAAGGAACATACTAAATATAATGAGAGTAACACTAAGAGTAATAATACAAATAATAAGAATAAGGAAAATACATGTTTCTCATTCTCTTCACCATCCTTGTCATTTACGATTCTTATTACCATTCCTAATGAAAAGTTGGTTGTTCCCGGCCGTCGTGTGGGGTAGTGCATCCGAGGATATCGCCCCCGCCACGCACGGCGCGTTATCTTAGCACCGCACCCGCAACAAATAATTACGACAGCTTGCCCAAAAAGAGAAGAAATACAATAAGACACATAATAATACTACAAAAAAGAATGAGCAATCATGAAAAATATTACGAATAAGAGTACGGATAAGACTACGAATGAAAAATCCGAAAACAGACGGGCTCCCCTGCTTCTTTCCTCCCTCCCTCCTTTTTCTCATTTCTTTCATCATCCTTGTCCTATACGATTCTGATTACCACCCCTGTTGAAACATTGGTTGTTCCCGGCCGTCGTGTGGGGTAGTGCATCCAAGGACATCGCCCCCGCCACGCACGGCGCGTTATCTTGCACCCGCACCGCCAAAATGATTCGCCCCCCATCGTAGGCACGGACGGTTCCTTTTCAAAGCTGGGCTCTCCCTTGCGTGGGACTTAATGTTGTTATTGTTGGTGTTGGCGGTGTTGTTGGTGTTTTTGATGTTGAAAGTGCGAGGTGCCAGGGTGACGCTTCTGGGGTGCCGGGTGCGTTATACTTTCGCCGGAGAGGGGGGATCTTAATTGCTTCATAAGGTTAATGACGATGATGATGACGCTGACGAGGACGATGATGATGACGATGATGATGATGACGACGACGATGACCATGACGATGACGATGATGATGATGAGGAGGATGAGGATGAGGATGAGGATGAGGATGAGGATGAGGATGATGATGCTGATGATGATGATGCTGATGATGAGGATGATGATGATGATGACGATGATGCGAGGCGCCCTTTTGACCTAACCCAGCAGCGGCGCCGCGCTGGTGCCCCACTAGGACGCGGGGCAGCTGGCGCCTTCCGGGCACTCCAGCTCGGCGGCCTCGGCAGGCTCGGTCGGCCATCGAGCCGTGAACTCGGATCGAATGTGCGAGGCGTGGGTTTATCTGCATGCACCGCCTGGAGAGTCGATGCCCATGGGGCCCCAGGGGGGCGGCGGATGGTATGAGTGCGTGTGGGCCCCAAGGGGCGTCCAGAGGTCCAGGAAGATCGACTTCCCAGGCGGTGGCTACGGTGGGAACCGCGCGCATATACACCGAGGTATCTAGGATCTTGTCCTATGGCGCTTCGCAGGAGCGCCACAGAACGGATCCGCCGATCCGTCGGCGTGCGTGAGACGCTGTCGTCGTTTTCGTCGTCGTCGTCGTCTTCGTCGTCGTCGCCAGTCCCAACAGAAGAAAGAACCAACACAGAAATGAAACGTCGTAGTTAAGTCGCTTCCCTCCTCTTCTCCCCCCCTGACATGAGGGGGGCAGTGGGGGTGGGGGGGGTCCCGGAAGAGGTCCCCCGGAGGGGCAAGGTGGTCCCGGGTCAGTTCCAGGGGAGGTCCTGCCTTCAGGGTCATCGTCACCAGTCGTAAGGCCTTCAAAATGTACTGCATAATTTTCTGGCCAACTCTCTGGGCGACAGGTCTTGAACACAAATATAAACATTATGTTTGGGCCGCCGTTTGCAACAGGGTACTGGGTGAAGGACACATATAACATCCGCCACCGTGCCTCTGAGCACGGAGTGGGCGTGTCCTCAGGTCCTTTGCCCAATCCCTGGAGCCCCAGTCTTCAGTCCAGAGGAGTCTCAAAGGGCCCAGGGCCAAACATCCGAGATCTGCCAGGGCTTCGCGGGTGCCCCCTGGGCTCCGGCGCATCTCGTCGCATGATTTGTTCGGGTTCAGAGGGCCCCAAGACGGGCCAGGAGGGCCCCGCGCGGCTCCCAAGACGGCCCAAGAGGGCCCCGAGTTGACGAAAGATCGGTCCAAGACGCCCAAGATGCCTTCAATATGGCCCAGGAGACCTCCGAGACGCCCCAAGAGGCCTCCAAGATGCAAGATGCCTCCCAACAGGGCCCCAAGAAGCAAAACATATTGATTTCGCATAGGTGCTTGAAAGATTTTGACGTTCTCGCCTCTTCTGTTTTTCGACGCTCAAAAACGACCCAAGAGGCCCCCAAGAACACCCAGAACGGCCCGAGAGGCTTCCAAGAGGCCCCAAAACGGCCTGAGAGCCCCCGAAGACGGCCCAAGAGGCGCTCAAGACGGCCTAAGAGGGCCCCAAGACGGCCCAAGAGGGGCCCAAGGGAGGGAACATTACCGGAAATCCGCGCGAGGCGCCCAGGAGGCCCCAAGAGGCCCCCAAGAGGCCCCCAAGAGGCCCCCAAGAGGCCCCCAAGAGGCCCAAAAGAGCCCCACGCGGCCCCAAAACGGCCACCACGAGGCCCCCCAACTGCCTCGAAAAGGCCCCTGAAGCCCCCATACGAGCTCCCAACGACCACCCATTAGGCTTCACACCCACTATTCAATCGGGCCTGTCCCCCTACTGGGGAATTTTCGACGAAAAATAAAAAATACTAAAAACATACTCCAAAATGATAAGAAATACTCCAAAAATGGTCCCCGACTATTTTTTGTCTATGTTTGAACATTCCTCCTGTAAAGGAACAGGCCCGACTTAATCCTGGCTCTGAATCAGGATCGAAGCGGGTGGCCGGATCGACGTCGAATCGGATCGCTCCGATCGAAGCGGGCCCTGCCTTGGCCTCCCGCAGGGCCCAGTCGGGGTCCGCGAGGTCCGCCGCGGCGAGCGCTGCGGCGTCGAAGACCTCCGCGCTCACCAGGCAGGTCTCCACGCCGTCTGGGTCGCGAACGATGGCCCGAGGCCGTGCTGCTCTGAACGTGGCGAGCCCAGACGACGACGTCGACGACGCCGACGACGCCGATGACGACGTCGACGACGACGGCGACGCCGACGACGCCGATGACGACGTCGACGACGACGGCGACGCCGACGACGCCGTTGACGACGACGACGGCGACCACGGCGGCGGCGGCGGCGACGACGACGACGACGGCGGCGGAACGTGGCATCCACAGACCATCCAACTTACGACAGTTTGGAGTCCCGAGACGGTGCGGTGACGGACCGTGTGGTGACCTCCACATCCCCCCAAGGCCTCACCGCACGGGCCGTCACGCGCACGGTCTTGGGACCCCGAAGGCCCCTGTCGCCCGAGACGTCCTCGGATCAGGGGGACGTAGGACCTGGGCGCAGGGGACTCGGAAATCCCAGACGAGGTCGTCAAACAAATGACGAGGCCGAGCCTGCATTTTGACGAGGCCTCCCGCTGCAGACATTCCACGAAGCTCCTCCTCGTCAAAATCCGAGGCGCGGTCGTCAAAAAACGATGGCGAACCCGAGTCCTGGCAAACCCAGGTCTTACGCTCCCCCGATCGGAGATGGACTCGAGTCCCAAAACCGGTGCGGTGACCCCGAATCCCCACCAACTCACCGCACGGTGTGGTCACCGCCCCGTTTGAGGGGGCCCCGAACATCCACAGACCATCCAACGTACGACAAGTCCGGGACGACCCCGGCGTTGGTTTCTGACACTGCGCGGATCGTCTAACCTTCAACGATCGGCGGCTCTTCAGTCGCGAGATCGTTTCATTTGGGCCGATTCTGGACCGCTGGCGGCGTTCAACCTTGAACGCCCGCGGCGGGGTCGCTGCCGCGTCGAGAGGACACGAACCTGAACCTGCCAACGGGGGACAAACTACGGTGAGGGCATTGGATATGGAACCCTTGGATCAGGAATCCGAGGTCTGGAAACCGGTGATTCACAATTTGAGGCTTGGCCATGGATACCACCGCCGCCCTCAGCAGAAAGGACCCTCCCAAGGTCTGAAGCCGCCTGGACACATTCCTCAGACAAATCAAGACACGATGATTTCAACATGTTCGGTCTCTGGGGGTCCGCGCCTATCCCGGGGCCGTCGAAAAGAGATAGATCCACAAACCTCCAACGTACGGCGAGGGGGCAATTGGGTATGGAACCCTTGGATAAGGAATCTAGAGCCTGGAAGCCGATGGGATACCAGTTGAGGCTGCTTGGCCATGGACATCACCGCCGCCCTCAGCAGACACGGAACCCCACAGGGTCTGAAGCAGCCAAGGCACAGTCATGGACGAACGCCCCAACCGCACTGGACAGATCAACACACAATGACTTCCATGTCTGCGGCCTCTGGTGGCCCCCGCGCGGGGCCCGGGGCCGTCGAACAGAGACTCGGACTGAAAAGCTGGCCCTGGGGATAGTCGGGAGCGGCCAAGAGGGGGGTGTCCAAGAGGGGGGGGTGCAAATCATGACCGGCGGCATGTGCGCGGCCCAGCGGGGGGGCCAGGGACGTAATGAAATAAGGAGAGGCCCCCTCTTTGCCGCCCCCGAGATAGAGGTCGGGAGTTCCAGGGACCCCGTACCTCTGGGGACACCACTCTGGCGACCGATGTCCCACGGCCTCGGAAAGAGGCGCATGTGGCCGCATGTGAGTGCCCGATCCGGCCCCAGGGGGCCCAAGGTCCACTCTCCCCTGGGCGGTGGTACGCCTGAGCGTCTTCATGTAATTGGTGACGCTCTGGCGTGCCACCGCCCAGGGGTCCGCCCCCTCCGATTGGCTCTCGGTGGTGGTGGCCCCTGCTTCTGCTCTGAAGAGCGGTGGACGTGGATGCGGTCCGGAACTTTTGGATCGCGTGTCGCGGCGGCGGCCCTGGCGACACGGTATGCCCTGCGAGCGGATAGCGCCTCGTCTCGCTCCGGGGGCTGGAGGCTCGGAAAGGCTCAGGACGTGGACGCCTGGGGACCGGGACGTGGATGGCGTGTCACACCGACACCGAGGCATGGCGGGCCAGAGCCGGCGGAGCGGCACTATCCAAAAAGTCCCCGACCGCAGATTCTGTAGACACTCCTCGCGGCCATGCTTGGTTAGTAAAACCTTGTGTGTGCTGTGGTTGACTCACAACGACAAGCACCAACAAAGCTAGCAGATCCCCTGACCCGCAAACGTCGAACGGAACATTCTATGAGACCAGGAAGCAGCTTTAATTCAATGTGTGAGATCCTTTCCCCAGAGCCGGTTCTCATCCAGGGCCGTTCTTCGACGGGATCCCGTGGCCCGGCGAGGGCCCCGGGAGGCCGTGCACGCCGCCCAAAACCCTCCGTCCCGATTCCTCTGGCCGCGGCGCGAGCATGTCTGGGACGTCCTGGCCTCGGGGATGGCGATGAGCAGCGTGCCCAGGGCCTCGTCCAGCTCCCGCAGCCCGTGCACGACCGCCCACGGCGCCTCCGCGGCGAGGCGCGCGTGCACCCCGCGCAGGGCGGCGGCCGGCAGGCTCACGGCGTGGCGGCCCTCCCACTGCTCCACGCCTCGGCGGCGAGACGCCCGCACACGGGGTTGCGCGGGCGAGGCTCTCCTCCTCCTCCTCCTCCTCCTCCTCCTCCTCCTCCTCCTCCTCCTCCTCCTCCTGCGTTTCTACGTTTCTCGCTCCCGGCGTCTCACCTCCTCCCTTTCCTCCTCCTCCTCCTCCTCCTCTTTTCCTCCTCCTCCTCCTCCTTTCCTCCTCCTCCTCCTCCTCCTCCTCCTCCTCCTCCTCCTCCTCCTCCCGTATCCTGGGCCACCCGGCCTCGCGCATCGCGCCCCAAGCCACGCGACGCGCGATGACCTTCGCGCCCCCGCGCCGCCGCCCTGGAGAAAGGCGCCTCTCCAGCAGGCCCCAAACCGCAGCCGCGATGCGCGAACCGCGGCCATCCTCGCGCCCCCTGGGATGACCCAGGCATCCATGTCCACTGCGTCTTGGAGTTCTGGGCTCCCTTCCCTGGAAGCCAGAGGCGAGGTGGATGTGGATAAGATGCTGGCCCCCAGGAGGCTGGATTTCGAACTGCCTACATCAACTGTGCTTCGGCCTCTTAGCGCCCCTTCTCCCCAGGGAGTCCGAGACGCGAAGGAGAAGGGTACCGATCTGGCCCGCAAGGCTGGCGTCCGCGGCCCGATGCCGGCCCGGATCTCGGGCCGGCACGATCTGCCCCAGAGCGCAGAGCACGCCGCCCGTCGAGGCCTCGACGCTCGTTGGACCTCCCCGACCTCGACCTCGGCCCCGACCCGTCCCAGAGCGCGGAAAAAAACGACGCCGCCCGAGGGCTCCGTGGACCTCTGCACGGGCCAGGCCCCGATCGATCGAGGCGGCGCGGACCTGCCGCGCGCGGGGCCAATCCATCTTTCGCTCGGAATCGGTGCCCACCCTCCTCTCCCCCCTTCTCTCCCTCCTCTCCCTCCTCTCCCTCCTCTCCCTCCCTCCTCTCCCTCCTCTCCCCCCTCATCCCTCTTCTCTCCCCCCTCCTCTCCCTCCCCTCCCCCCCGGCGCCCCCTCCTCTCCCCCCGTTCTCTCCCTCCGCCCCCCGTGGAAAAGAAGAGCTGCTCGCGCGGCGTCTGGCCGTGAAGGGCGGATGCGTGCGCCCGGCAAGCCCCCGACCCCCGACGCCAAGATGTTCGAATGGCGCCAACCCCCAGACGTCTCGACCCATTCCCCCGGGACCGGTCTTCGAGGCCCGGCGAGGGCGCCCAAAAGCCGGCCATCGTGAAACGCACCCCCCGTCGTGGTGTCGTGCATGACCCGAACAGGGTCCGGGTTTTCGCCCACGCACCGCCTAGAGGTGTCTGCATCATGTGCCGTCCGCCCCATGGCGCCCTCCTGGCCAACGTTCTTCGAGTCGCGCCTGGAGCGCAGCCGCGAGAGGCCGTCCCCCCCTCCCCGAGCGAAAACCCGCAAAGCAAGAGACGTTTTTTTCTTAAAAAAAGATCGGCGATAACCTGGGATATCTGGGGGGAGAGGGGGAGAGGCCCGTCGCTAAGCTAACCCTCGCGCTGTGGGTAACCCCGCATGTGCCCGCGCGCACCATTGCTGCGGCCCCTAGATTCTGCAAACGATCCAACGACGAGGCTACTATTCGTGCTGCGACGATGCGGGCGCCTCCTGGAACTTCCAAGAGATACGTATGTCTGGGCCAACTCCAACGACAAGGTGAGGTTATCCGAGGGGGGGCGAGCCCGACAACCCGGGCGATCGCAGGACCCTAACAAAAAAAAACTCCAGGCCATATGTAGGCAAATCCGCTCGAGGCGGTGCGGCCCCGTCGGCGCATCGGTGCCCACGAAGCCGCTGCAAGCACCTCGACGCCTCCAAAAAGAGACAGCGACGGAGCGTTCTGCTGACGGGCCGCGGTGGGCCGGCCGTGGTGGGCCAGTCTCTCGACTCGAAGCCTCCCGAGGTCTCCGATGCACGGGGGCTGGTCGCAGCACCCCGGAGGCCGGTGGGCGTCGCTCAGCGGGGGGGCGGAATACTGGGGGAAAGAAAGGCGCATTTCTCGGACCCCGAAGGCCCCCTTCTGGGCCCTGGAGGGCCCCTTTGAGGGACCCGAAAAGGGACCCCTTTATCGGCAGCCCTCACTAACCACTGACCCCCAATCGATCGCCCCCCCATTGCGCGACGCCCGATGCCAAAGCACCGCCAGGGCCCTCTTGCTTCGGCAGCTTTCGAGCTGGATCGATCCGTGAGCGCCGCCGAGAGCGAAACCCGGAGAGAACGCCTGGCTCGAAAAAAATGAAGCGCCAGGATCCCAGGGCACGGGGCCGAACGCAGCACCCGGAGGCCGGAGCGAAAATACTCGGCTATACGCAAGAATGACCCTGGGTAAGAGTGACCTTTGGTGCGCGGCTTCTTGGGGCGCGCAGGCAGCTGCTACTGCTCCGTTTTCAGCCATCTGGGGAACCATCCGTGCCCGCACCAAAGGTCACTCCTGCGAAAGGTCACGGCCGCCGGGATTCAAAAGCCGTGCGCGGGGGGCCTGGCACTTCTCGGCGCCGGCGCGGTAGGGACGAGGGCGGGGAACGCGCGAGAGGGGGGACCCGCGCCTGGCCAAACCCGACGGGTCGGCCCAAAGCGCCGACGGCGCCATCCAAATCAGACCCACACCGGCCAAAATTCTGGCCCGCGCCCACCCCAAACAGGCGCATTCCACTACTCGCAAAATAACTACTCGCAGATGGCCTGGGCCCGCCGCGGAGATGCGCCGAGGCAAGCATGTGTCTTGTTGTGTTTGCCGGACGTTGGCGAGTAGGCACTTTGCGAGTAGTGGAACGCACCTGGTGACACACGCATCGTCGGATGACTGGGTTCTGGGTAATTACTTGGGTGGCCTTTCGGGGCGATGCGGGCACCCCAGAAGGCCTTCGCGAAAGGAGCAGCTGCTGGATCGCACCCCGAAGCTGGGAGACCTTCGGAAATCGGCGAGAGCACTCGAACTCCTCGAGCCGAAACCAGAAAACATCGTCAGCTGCTGGACTCCGCACCCCGAGGCCGGGAGACCGCCGAGAATCGACGAGAGCACCCAAACACCTCGAACCGAAGCCCGAATGCATCGTCAGTTGCTGGATCGCACTCCGAGGCCAAAAGACTGCCGAGAGCACCCGAACTCCTCGAACCGAAGCCCAACAACATCGTTTGCTGCTGGATCCCGCACCCCGTGGCTGAGAGACCGCCGAGAACCGACGACGGCAACCGAACCCCTCGAGCCGGCACCAGAAAAACGTCGTCGGTCTGGTGTCCGTGCCGTGGGCGCCTGCGTGGCCCCCCGCGCTGTCCGATCTGGGCCTGCTTCGGGGCGGACTTGAAACACGTGTGGGACCGGATTCGGACCGGAGTCGCCCCTTCCACCGCTTCCGTCGCGGCGCCGGCGCGGGGTTCTCCCTGAACCGACGCCTGGCGCCCCCGTAGCGCTCGCCTGACTGTGCCCGCGGGGGTGGAGGCCTCGCCGCCTCCCGCGCCCCCAGGGAGCCGGAGCCTCAGAGCTGCACTGCTTGAGCCTGCCATGTCAGCTGGGAGACGTGGCCCGCGGGCCGCGAAGCGCGCCCAGCCTGAGATCCGACGGCGCGACCACGAGGAGGCATCGCAGGACATCCCACGACGGGAGCCCCAGGCCCCGAGCCCCAGGCCCCGCCTTCCTGCGGCACCTCTCGAGCCACACCGATCTGCGAGGCCCCAGGGCCCGACACCCCGCGAGGAAACGCCCGGCTCGGAAACATTGAGGAGCCAAGATCTCGTGGCATCTCGCCGCCCCCAGACCCTCCACGTCATGCTCTTCTCGTGGCGCCCCCCCTGGGGGTCTCGACCCATTCCCCGGGACCGGCTTCTCAGCTCGAGCCGCCTGGTCGGACGCCCCCGAAGCCCCGTGAGGGCCCCCAGAACCAGAAAAAGCGAAACACCTCCCGTCGTGATTCGTTCATGACCCGAAGGGGTCTGGGCCCAGGGCTCCCAGAATAGGCGGTGGACAAACATCTCTTTCGTAAACCTCCCTTTAATGAAAACGGCATAGGACCGAAACCGACGGACCTGGACCCGCAAAAAGGACGGCCGCGACGCCCTCTCGCGAATCAAAAACGGCCAATTCGCTTCAACCTCCGACAGAAGCAGCCATCGGATCGTCAGAAACGAAACAACCTCCGACAGAAACGCTAGCGTACCAGCGGGCGCCCCGCGCGAGCATTCGCCGCGCGAGTGACGGAAGAGGAGGAGGAGGAGGAGGAGGAGGAGGAGGAGGAGGAGGAGGAGGAGGAGGAGGAGGAGGAGCCAGAGGGGGGAGAAGGGGTCTGGGCCCAGGGCTCCCAGGAACAGCCATCGGATCGTCGGCATGGGGCCTGCCGAGCGCCGCGCGCACGGGGCGCCCGTGCGGGGAGGGCAGCAGCACCAACGGCACGCTGCTCGCCCCCGGCGCGGCGACGTAGCCCACGGCCCTGCCGGCGCCGAGGGCAGCCGGCAGGACGACCTCTGGGCGCTCCTCTGGGGAGCGGGCGCCCCCGTCCGCCCCGCCCCTCCCCTCTCCTCTCCCCGCCCCTGCCAGGCCGCCCCTGCAGCCGCGCGAGCCTTGCGCCTCCCTCCCCCTCCCTCTCCCCCCCTTCCTCTGTCTGGTCGTCCCTCGTCCCCGTCTGCTTGCCGGGGGGCGCGGTGCATAATTTTGTAGGGGTGGCAGTAATTCCCGCCGCCGCGGGCCCTCGGCGCGGTGCCACGGGACACGGCAGCTCTCCCCCCTGTCTTCTCGCTTCTTGTCCGCTTGCCTCGTTCCCTTGCTCGCTTCTTGTCCGCTTGCCTCCTTTCAGTCAGTGAAGGAAGGGAGGGAAGGAGGGAGGGACGGAGGGAGGGAGGGGGGGGAGGGAGGAGGGAGGGAGGGAGGGAGGGAGGAGGGAGGGAGGGAAGGAGGGAGGGAGGGAGGAGGGAGGGAGGGAGGGAGGGAGGAGGAGGAGGAGGAGGAGGAGGGAGGAGGAGGAGGAGAGGAGAGGAGGAGGGGAGGAGGAGGAGGAGGGAGGAGGAGGAGGAGGAGGAGGAGGAGGAGGAGGAGGAGGGAGGAGGAGGAGGAGGACCAGCGCACAGCTTGGGATGATGTCTGAGATCCACCGCGCCCCAGCGCGGAGACAGAGGCCTGGGCCTCCGAGCTCTTCAGGAGGAGGAAGCAGCCCCCGCAGCAGAGCTTGATGCTGCTGCCAGATCCCTGAGAGTCTGGCGGTAAAATTGGGCCAGGGGGACAGGGGGTTTGAAAACAACTGGTGAATTCTTCCCCCCTTTCGGGTGTCTTAAACTGAGAACCTTAGAGAGACGGTCGGCGGCACCTGTACTCTGCGGCCCTTGACGTAAACACACCGAATTTAGCCCCCTGCCTTGCTCCATATAAGAGCCGCAATCTTTGCAGATAATCAGGGTTGACGAATTGTCTAGATATTCGAACCAAAGGAGATTGTGCCGTTTCGGGTCCTGGGCCAGCTTAGCCATAGCAGCACAATACCCTGGGCACTTCTCATTCTGACGGGCAATCTGAGATTGGCTAGACTTCGCCGTCACTCGGCAAACGGTGCATAACCATTTACCCCTTATATATTCCCAGTTGTGAGTCGCGTCCGCAACCTCTGACACAACCGCAGGCGGCGGAGGAGGGAGCGGAGGAGGCAGAGGGTCGGTCCCAGGGCCCCAGACATGAGGAGCGGACGCGGCTCCGATGGGGGGGTTGGAACTCGTGGGGGCCTCGAGGCCCTTCTTGCCTCTCTTAGGAGCCAAGGCGGGCCACTTAGGGAGGATTCGAGCCAGGTAACGTAAAAATCGGCCGAGCAATTGGGTTTGATTCGCGTGGGATTCTACCTCGGACCTGCTGGGCTGGGCCAACTTCTGGGCCGCCTGCTTTGCCGCCTTGTCGGCAGCATCGTTCCCGAAGGCATGGGTCCGTTCCTCGGGGGAAGAAAACTCGGCTTCGAGATTCTGGTGGCCTTTCACCTTGCATAAACAACTGCTAGGGCGGACGCGGCACGCGCCTGCCAAGACCTTGAAGCCGCTCATCGGGGACCTGCGAGGATAGCGAGGAGCCAGATGGAGGTCTATAGCGGCTTTATAATCCGTGTGCACATGAGTTATCAACGGCGATGCATGACAAGCTAAAAGAATCGCAAGCTGCTCTGCAGCTCCTGAGGTCTGTCGAAACTGCTGCCCCACCTGTCCCGTGAGAATGGCGAATGGCTCGTCTTCACGCAGGGCAACTACAGAGAATCCAGCCGCACGGTAAGCTGGGTGTAGTGAATTGTCGCAACTACCGTCGGTGTAGACTTGGCCTACGAAGGCCTCGTGCAGAGACAAATCTGGGTCCCTGCACCAGAATTCAACGTCTTCGATCCCGAGGCCGGGCCTGGCTCCCACGGAAAACTCAGGGTCCCGCTGAAAACCAAAACGCATCAGAGGCTCGTCGCTGCTCGACTGCAACGTGTCCAACTCTGCTGGACTGAAACATTCTTCACGCTCGTTCCTAGACAGCTCGCAGCCGAAAACGCGGTGCTTGATCTCATCAGACTCGGCACCACAGGGGCAGGCTGGGTCGACGGGATAGCCTGCATCCTTGGCTCGAGCTTTTGTCCAGCAACCTTGGGTGAGAAACGTCAAGAGACAGCCTCGCTCCTGCTTCGAGAGCGACCGATCTTTCAAGGCAGCGAGGGCTGCTGCAGAGTCTAGCCTAGCACCTGGAGCACCGAGCTTGCTCGCAGCCTTCTCTTTCAAAACATTGATCCAGTCGGCCTGCGTGAGCTGCTGTACAAACGCAGGAGAATAGCTGGTCATAGGGTACTGCAGGCCGCTGCGAGAAACAAACACGAGAGGGGAGGCCAGACTCCACCCAATTCGTTTGAGAGACAAAATCATGGCCCCGAAAGGCCCCCGAACGGCCGCCCACCTCTGAGGCGTGGAGCCCAAAAGGCTCTCCCCGCGGGCCTTGAGAGCTCTCAGCGAGGCCAGCGATTGACACGAATTGGTGGCGGCACTCCACACAAGCATATGCCACAGCATGGCAGGTCCAAGGGCGAGCTTCCAGGTGGGGTCACCCACTAGGATTAAGCTTAAAGTTCTGCTTCTAGTAGCACATTTGGGCCCTGCTAGCTTTAAATATTGTTGCTGGGCAATTGCTAGTTGCGAATTATTAAGGCCCGTCACTTCGTGTCCAAAGGATGTTGCTGCGAAAATCCCCGTGTTGTAAACCTTCCTCGTGTCACCTCCTCCTTTCTGAATGGCACCCAACCTCCTCATCCTTCTCTTGATCTGCTCCATCCTCGCCCTGGTCAGCCTGTTCTTGCGCCATCTGCACTGGGGGGCCCCTGCAGCAGTTTCCACTCCGAGATTGGGGGCTGAGATGTCCAAGTTGGTGCCTGCACGATCCTTTAGCTTTTTCTTCAAGAGAGACCTGAGCTGCGGGGTCGAGGCTGCCATCTGCGTCTTGGCTGGCGAGATGCTGCAGTCCAAATCCTGCTTGATACAGGCGAGCAAACGGCGGGTGCCCAAGTCGAGGCTGCTGACCACGACCTTGGGCTTCTGGCTGTGAGACTTCAAGAGGAGGTCATCAATGAACATGAAAAGGTCGAGGGAGGGGTTCTGGTGGGTCCAGGAGTCCAGGGGTTCCAGGGTGTACATCTGGATGAGATAAGTAGCAAACCCACACCCTGCAGCTAGACCGTACTTAGTACAACCGACATAGACGATCATATCCTGGAGGGCGACGAACCTAGGACTCGAGTATATGCTGATGATGAGCCTTAAGAGGGTAGCAGGGAAACCACTTCTAAGGGCTCGCTTAGCTAACTTGCTTCTGTTGACGTGCTCGTAGTAGTTACTGAGGTCATACAAAACCATACCAGACACAAAGGCTTCGCTCTTCTTAGAATAAGTTTCGCAATCCAGATTCTGCTTGAAAACGAGCTCAACTATCGAATGTCCTGCTTGGTGGGCGAGAAAGGGTCGCCTGTGATGCCTCTCCCATTCACGAGCAGCTGACTGACGAATGCGCGCCCACGTACGATAAAGGCCTGACATCATTCCTATGGATCTCATAGCTGGCTTTGTTGCTGTCTTATCCTGTTGCTTGTGCTTCATGATGAGGACCGATCTGATAGCTTGCAGCTGCGACGGCATGAACCCCAGGCATTCTATGACCAGGATGAGCCGAGCTATGAGATCCGCCTGCAGTTGCGGAAGCAAGAGGAAGTGCCTCGGATGGACACCGTCCCAGGTCGAGGCTGTTCTGGGGGGGAAGCTCTTGGCGGCTGCTTGCACCGTTTCACCTGTGAGAAGGCCCAGAGCGACGCGATCGTCGATATGACCAGGAACAGGGTTGGGTTGGGTCCTCATTTCCGTATCCCAGATGCTGGCAAGTCTTTCAGCTTCCCCCTCCAGAATTCTCGACGGCCTGCCTGACCACTGGCCGCGGTGAAAGGTAGAAGCGGGCTTCCAAGCCTCGAGATTACGCGTCCAGCGATGTGCCCAGCCAACGCCGCCTTGCAGTGAGGTCTGTACCCAGGAAGCCCAGGCCTTAGAGGCCGCCAGATTGCTTTTGCCCCTCTCCGAATCGATGGACTTGTCCAAGTCCTCGATCAGGGTCCCGATGGCGTCGTCGGCTGTGCCCATTGCTAGCGTACCTGCCGCACTGTCGGAGATCAGCAGCTCGCCGAGCCGCTGGGAGGCGAGGAGCCCCTGCTTGAGGCCCTCGACCTCTTGAAACTCTTCAGGAGCATCCTGCAGCCCGGCGACGCCGAAGACTAGTTGCTGATGATCTTGATGATGGATGCTGTAGTTGATGTCCGTTAGCCGATTGCGTAGCCAACGTAGAGGTGCTTCTAGGGATTTCCAGCTTGATCTAGCTTTAGCGACTTTGTGCTTGGCTCTTACCCATTTGATGATAGGGGGGCTGGCTCTTGGAGTAGAGGAGTGCTTCAACGGAGTGTCCGTTGCTCGGCTGATAGTCTGCTCCAAATCTTTGACGACCGTGAAATAGACGACGTCTAGTACTGCTTGCTTTTGCTTCTGGCTGAGAGGCTTGGCGGCATCAGCTAGTAATTGATCTGCATAGTCAAGTGCGCTTGCACTCTGAGTCCAGGCCAGCTGCTGGGGCTGAGGCCCGAACGGTCGTGTTGACGGCAGTCTTTGCGGCCGAACCAACACTGGGATCATGAAACTGTCGGAGTCCGAGAGGTCGAGACACACTGGCCTGTGGGGAGACATCGGATAATTGGCCCACGTGCGGGCCTTGTCGACATATTCACTGAGCGTCTTACTGATAATGAAATAATCCAAGACCGATTGAGTTTTCTTCACACGGAAGGTTGGGCTCGATGGGGTAACCACTTGAAGGGAGGCCCTGTGGAGGTAATCGAGGCTCTCGATCCTGGACGGCGATAAGTTGAAATCTCCAGCGACGATGATCGGGACCCGCTCCTGATCCTGCTGGACGGCGATGTCTGCTAACAGGCCTAGGTTGACTTCTCCAAGCCCGCCAGCTGCTTTAAAATACGCGCACATGAGCCCTAGACGAGGTAGGCCAGGGAGCTCCAAAAGTAGACCAGTTAAGCGACTACGGTCCACAGTGCTCCTGAAACTCATGTTGGATATGCCAATGTCGAGGTTGGCTCTGACTAGAATGGCAACACCGCTTACAATCTGCTGATTGTCGTTGAGTGCTGCTGGTGAGATATGCGCCAACCAACCCATTGATTGGCACCACTGAACTTGCTGCGAAATGACATCCCCATCTCTGAGCTTGTGTTCCTGGACACAAATCAAAGAACAGTCACAGGCAGCACGAGATTTGATGAACTGCTTGAGCGTGGGCCAGCAGCTCCCGTTGAACGTGACGATGCCGAGCTTGTTAAAGAGACGGCGTCGGCGCCCCTGAGGCCGCGGCCTGCACAACGGCCGCAGATCCGCGCACCTTCTTGGCCCTCTCGTCGTCGGTGCCGTGGGAGGCCATGAGCTCGGAAAGCTGCGACAGGCTTTCAGCTGTGCGCCGATGGCCTGCAAAACTGTGGGGCATCTCCACATCATGTAGCTCTCGAGCTGCCACTTCTTCTCCACTGCCGACCGACATCGTCTCTGCTGCATCTCGCTCTGCGGCGGGCACGCCACGGGCTGCGGCGGCGGAGGGGGGCCCAGGCCATGGCGATCCGCCGAGGCCTGCCGCACCCGCGCCAGGCGCTGGCGGTGGCTCCCCGATGCCGCCGCTGTCGCCTCCCGCCTGCGCCCCCATGGCTGCCAGGTGCTGCTGCTGCAGCTGGTCGAACAGCTCGGCGACCTCCTGCACCTTGGCCGTGAGCGCGGGCGGAATGCAACCACCCTCTGGAATCTTGGACTGAAGGGCGGCGCTGAGCAGACCTTGCACATTGGAGTCTGCTGCCACCTCCTGTGCTGCTGCTGACGCTGCCACTGCACGCTGCGCTTCCAGCATCTGAAGTTCTTGACGAGCCTCAGCCTGGTCATGCAACTTCGATTTGTATTCTTCTGCCATCTTCTCGATCGAGGCCTCCAATTCTTCGAGCTCGGTCTCGTAGCTGACGAGCTTGCTCTTGATGGCATTGATTTGGCCCGTGAGCGATTGAGTCTGCTGGTCCAAACTCTTGCCCCTGAGCGCTTGCATCTTCGCTTGCTTGAGGTACTCAACTGCGTCGTGATATTCCTTCTTGTCGACCCCAACCCACTTGCGCCAGAAAGAGACCTGTGCCTGAGCCAACGCCACTGGGTCAGGCGGTCCCTCCTGGGACTTGGGTGACTCCTCTGCCGCCTCGGCGGCGGCGGCCTGAGGTGGTGGTCGGGAGCCTCCTCTGCGCGGGCCTCTAGGACGGAAAGTATCGCCATCCGCCTTGCCACCCATGGAACCATCCTGCTTGAGGCTGGACCCACACAGAGAACACCACTTCTTGGGAGCCCATTCCCAACCACGGCAGCCACGCTTAGAGCAACAAGAATAAGAACCCTTGCCCATGGCGGCAGCCTGCGCGGGAGCGGGAAAAGGGAAGTAATTGTGGCCAAAATCAGTGAAGCCTGCGGGTCGCTGTATGGTGCAGCGTCGGGAGCAGGCTTATCGGATGTCGGCGCTGTTGCCCCTCGAGGGGCGGGGATCCCGCAGATTGCGACTTGAGCCAAAATGGCTTGAGCCAAATGGCTACGGAGGAGGAGGAGGAGGAGGAGGAGGAGGAGGAACCACCTCCCCCCAGGGAATCCCCCGAGGGCCTCCAGCGCACCCCAGCGGTCTGCCCGGAGGCCTCAGAGGATAGCGAAGGGCCTCTCCTAGAGGGGCCCCTCGGGCCGCAACCCGGCCCGAGCTCCTCCATGCCCAGCAGGCCCGCGTAGAACCGCGCGCTCGCCCCGGGGTCCGCCACCCGCAGGGCGACGTAGGCGAACGGCTCGGCGCGCTCCTCCGCGGGGGCGGGTCCCCAATCACCCCTCTAGGGCCATGAAAAATCACGACGGGATTTTTCCGTGATTTTCGGCCTTTGGGGGCCCTGACTGGGCCTCGGGACCATCCAATAACGACTCGGGATAAAAAGCCGGTCCCGGGGCATGGGTCCATACCTCTGGGGGTCGGCGTCATGAAACAATCACGACGATGATGTGGACGATGCTGACGATGATGATGATGATGATGATGGTGATGATGCGGACGATGATAATGACGATGATGGTGATGATGATGATGATGATGATGATGATGATGCTGATGATGATGATGAGGAGGAGGAGGAGGAGGAGGAGGAGGAGGAGGACGACGATGGGAGGAGGGAGGGGGCAGCGGGGAAGAAGGAACGCGGGGCGCTGTCTCTTCAAAACGAAGACCCAACACCACAGGATGATTGGGAATCATGACGTCGGGGGTCTGGGATACGCGCCCCACGAGGATCGATCCCGCCAGCGCGTGCTCGTCCGCCGGAGGCCTTCGGATGGGACGCAGGGAGTGTCATATTGAAGAGGGCTGGCACGGGCTGCGCGCCATCGGTGGCGCTGAACGGGGCAACACACACGCCCCCCCTCCCCCACACACAAATACACACATACACATACACATACACATACACATACACATACACATACACATACACATACACACAAACACACACACACACACACGCCCCCCCCCCCCCCCAACACACACGCACACACACATACACACACACACGCACACAGACACACACACACACACCACGCACACACCACGCACACACACAAACACAGACAGACACACACACACACGCACGCACGCACGCACGCACGCACGCACGCACGCACACACACACACACACACACACACGCGCACACACACACACATACACACACGCACACACACCACACACACAACACACACACGCACGGACACACACACACACACACTTATTTGGTCTGCGATTCGGGAGCGGGCCCCTTCCGGTCAAGAGCTAAACGGGGAGCCCTAATTGGGAGACGGGGCGCGGGCGGGCGGGGCCTCAGGCGGCCGGAGGGCTCAGAGTTCAGGTGGTTCCGAAGATCTTGCTCAGGACAAGGTACGCCATGGACTGGAGCAGGGGGCGAAGTCCCAGAGGGAGGGTGGATTGGTGTTGCCGTCATCGGCGCGCCAAGAACACCATCCTCGAGTGCTGCGTGAGGAGGGCCGTGAGCAAGTCAACGTCCGCGAGGTAGGGGGAGACCAGGAAGGCGAAGTGCACCAGGTGCCACCGACTGGTAAGGAGAGGCCCAGGAGATGCGGAAGACCACGAAATCGATGTGCAACGTTGTGCCACCGGGTGGTCAGTAGCGGCCTTGGGTGGTAGTCCAATCCACGTCCAGGTAGCAACCACGAGGTTCGGCATGAAGGCCGACTGTGTCCGCCTGCCGTGGGCCAGGCCGGAGCCGCGCTGCACAGGGTGAGCGGGGCCGCCGAGGCGGCAAGGTGCAGTGCCAGCACCGGGCCGGAGCCGCGCTGTGCCGGGCGCTGCCGCCATGGGAGGGGGGGAGAGCGAGCGGGGAGGGAAAAAACGGGCAGGGAGGAGAGAGGCCAGCGCCCCACGCCAGCCGGAGTCCCGCCAGCGTGCACCGAGGTGCCCGCGTGGGGACACGTCCCAATACGCACAGGTAAGGCCCGAGGCCCCAGCGCGGGCGTGTCACGCACGCCGCTGCCGTACCAATGCGTCGCAGGTAAGAACAGGGGGTGACACAGAGTCCCAGATCCTTGAGTCAAGTCCAGCCGATGGGTACAGGGGGGGCACAGAGTCCCAGATCCTCGAATCACGCTCAGCCGATGGGACAGGTAGGACACAGAGTCCCACATCCTTTGGAAACAGCCGATGGGCACAGGGGGGACACAGAGTCCCAGGTCAGGGAAGCTCAATCAGCTGATGCATACAGGTAGGACACAGAGCCCCAGACCCTTGACACACACACACACACACGCACACACACACACACACACACACACGCACACACACACACACACGCACACACACACACACACACACCCACTGGGCTAACGCACGTCCCGAGGATCGTCGAGGAGATCCTGGCCGTCAAGAGGCTCCCCAGGCGGGAATCGGCACGCCCGAAAGTGGCAATGGCAACGGTAGGCGCGATGCCCAAGAGCAGATATTGTCAAAAGAGGCAGCGGTCGCTGTAGTGCAGGCGACTTCTTGTCTCGAATGGACAACGTCTGCGGCGACACCCGACAATGAGTCCTGCTTAAAATGGGCAGAAACTGCTGTCGTCGTTATCCCCAGATCTTTGCGTACCCCTTCCGATCGTACCGCGAGGGCGTTCACGTCCGGCGCCCCGCGAGATCCGCCGACTCAGAAGGGTGTGGCTTGCAGAGGGTGCGGCCTGCAACCCGCGCCCTGTCGGGCAGGCTGGGACCTCGCGCCCCGAGAAGCGGTCCAACGTGGTCTCCTCCAGGCCCCAGAGGCGCAGATCACCAACCACACCCTGGCGAATTACGCCCTGAGACCGCCAGGAGGGGAAACACATCGACCGCCTCCAGGGAGGAAACATCGCGCTGGAATCGGCGATATGTCGCCGATGGATCAGCGATCGGCCAGCGAGAGCGCATCCACACCCTGCTGGGCGGGGTTGGCTGTCAGGCCCCTATCGGCGATCAATGGGCGACTGGGGATCGGTCACCCTGGGCAAGAGTTACCTAGGTGCACGGATTTAGAAGGGGCGCGAGGGGGCCAAAAACCAAGCGCGCAAGCCGCTGCTATCGCAACTCAGTCAGCGATCGGGGAGAACCCGTGAGCCCGCACCAAAATGCACTCCGGCGAAATGTCACTATTACGTGCATTGGCGGCGCGCAGGGGTGGGGGGAGGGGGAAGGCTTCTTAAAAGGAGACTGTTTCTTAGAAGGTGCCCGCTTGACATATCCAGATTAGGCCAACACCCTCTGAGAACCAGGAGTGCCTCGAAGAAGCCCTGCCCCATTCCCTTCACCCCCCTCTGCGCGTGGCTGACTCTTACGTGCAGTCTACTACGTATCTGAGGGGCAACGATAGGGAGGACTGGCATAAGGCGGGGGGAACATCAATCTGGAATCAGCGATACATCGCCGATAGATCGGCGATAGACCCCAGATAGCAATTCCGCACCCTCCTGGGCAGGTTGGGGCTCTCGGCCCCGGGGTCGATGCATCCCCCCCAGTCCCCTGGGCCTATCCCCCCCCTGTCCCCGATCCCTCCTTCCCTGTCTCCTATCCCCCCCTGTCCCCTATCCCCCCCTGTCCCCTGTCCCCCCCTATCCCCCCCCCTGTCCCCTATCCCCCCCTGTCCCCTGGGACTATCCCCTGACTCGCCCGGACGCACCATAACCCTAGATCCGCGACCGCGAAAACAAATAATGCAACTAATCGGAAACACACTAATAACAACTAATACATCTATTGAAAGCAATCCCCAACAACTAATACAACTATTGGAAACACCCCCAACAATTAATACAACTATTCAAAACACTCCCCAAACAACGATTACACCTAGTGAAAGAACCCTACACAACTAATACAACTAATGAAAGCAAGCCCCAACAACTAATACAACGATTCGACGCCCACCCTACAGCAAATACAACTATTGAAAACAATACCGAACAACTAATACATAATACAACGATTGACGGCAATGACAACAACGAATACAATTATTGGAAACAACTCCCAACAACTAATACAATTAATTCAACTATTGGCAGCCACGCACAACACCTAATACAACTAATGCAACCATTGCCAACAAACCACAACAACAAATGCGACGGTTAGCCAGCTCCAATCATATAACATATAATGCAACTATAACCAAACACCCGCGACAACTGGAATAACGACTGAGAGCGGCGCCGCAACGCCAACAACTATTGTCACCAATCACGAATCAGAAATGGGTAATGGGAGTAATGGGTAATGGGTAATGGGTAATGGGCACCGTCCGTCGCACCACTGAGAGCGGTTAGAACTGAGATACACACTTCCGAACAAATAAAACACAACACGAAACGACATGGAAACTGAACGCACTCAGGAACTCACGTATTCAGTATTCACAAATTTCTGCAATCGTGCAGCACCGAATAGCACGTACGGACCCCCAGGGCGTAAAACCTCCACCGCCTCAAAGGACAAGCGAATACGAACAACCTCCCTGGGCACGTGCGAACGCGGAAAACAAGTCAGAAAAAAAGACACCACCCTTGAAACCGACCCGTGCAACGCGAAACGTTGATATATGATATATGATACAAGAGAAACCCCACCGCGCAACGTGACATCGCTCGCCGGCTGAACTCCGACATGTGCCTTTCGTCAAACCCAGCGAGAAATCGTTCGCCCGTCAGTGACCACAAAACGAAACCGAAGCCTAGCCTGGGATCCTGGCCGCCCTCAGGCTTCGAACACGGTGCCCTGGCTGCCCAAGCCCCAACCCCCAGACCCCATTTCCTGCTCTGCTGAGGCGGCGGAACCATTCCCAATCCCTCATCCCTGACCTGGCCTGCCCAAGACCGCCAAGAATGCCCGAGACGCCAAATGCCAAATGCCAAACCGTGAGCATGCGGCATACATCCGACAACGATCGAAACGTTCACGACGACCAACATGCCCAGGACACCAAGCCCACCCAAGGCATCCCTGTGGGTTCCGATTGGGCGATGTGGGATCGCCCGAGTGCACATGGGCACGGAAAGATATGTTCGCGTGATGTATGCGCGTGTGTCGGATGTTCGTTCACATTATACTGTTGACTGCTTACTGTATGCTGTATGTTGTATGCTGTACGCTGTATGCTGTGCGTTTGTATGTCGTATGTTGCGCGTTGTGCGTGGGAGGGCG